TTTTTTTTTTTTTTTTTTTTTTTTATCACAACATAGTTATTTCCCTTATATGTAGAGGTCCACCTACACGTTGCTTATAGGGCCATACACAAATTTACGACATCGCTCAGGGTAGAACACCATTTATTTTACTTCATCGACAAGGCGCTTGCCATGTGCGACATCGACGTATTACAAGATCAAGGTGCGAACATGTATGTTCTTTTTAAGGATCAGCCCAGGAAGGGAGAAGAAAGAGGAGGGGGGCGAGAAGAAGAAATGTTACACCAACAAGATATGTACAACAGGCAAAGGAAGTCCTCATCGGAAAATGTAACCTCATTTATGCCCGAGAATTAGTGCCCAAAGAGGGATACTACTTGGGAAAGCACCTGCTACACATTTATCTTCTTAATACAGTTTTCCTGTCAGTACTAATGCGACACTTCATGTTTTTTTTTTGTCTGGAAAATGCCTCTCCCCCGTTTTCGCCTCAGGAAAATACACTGTCATCCAAATATTTCAGGAAGGAAAATAGACGGTTCAAGCACAATGTGGTAATAGCAACAGGAGGGGGAATCATTGGTAAAGCGTGGGTCAGCTCACGAAAAGGGACTCCATATATAAATACACACACGCGCATGTGTGATGCACCCACGTGAAAGGATCCCTCCCCCCTTTGGGCACCTCATTTGACCAATGTTACGCATTCATGGCTTCTTCCATATCCTTCGCAGAACATCCTAGATAAACGGAAGCCCCCGTTGGGGGCGTTAGGAAACACACCTGAAGAAGTTAGTCAAAAAGAGAATATATATACATATATGTATATGTTAAATAAGCGCCCAATTACCTCTGTGGCAAAAATGAGACAATCACACACTAATTCCCTTCTTGCATGACAGGAGATTGACCTACCAAGTGAAAGGAAAAACGAACTGGACATCTTAAAAACAAAGGTAGGGCATGTTTTTCTGTGCAAATGTACACTTAACCAAAATGAGTAGCATAGTTTTAGGTCTCCCAACTGCACAACACACCTCTTTACACGTGGCTTTCCTTTCTGTTCAGACAAATATCGAGCCCACGGGAATCATCATAGCCTGCTGTATAGGAACTGATTTCGTAAGATAAAATTGAGAGCTACTTTATGTGACATCCGTGTGGTCGTTAAAGTGGTTGGTAGAGACACACCGAGAGAAAAAAAAAAAACTTATCACTCGTCGCGCAAAAACATTATAAGTGCTTTTAACACAACCGATCTATTCTCCCTTTTCCTTGTTTCCTTTTTCTGTGTTCCCTGCGCAGCGTTTTTCAGCATTCATTAAAGACTTTAAAACACACAACATAAACAACGACTTTATCAAGTAAGGACAGGCAAATTTTGCACTCACTTTTGCGTGGCTATTTGTTCGCGACAAAAGCGGAGAGTAGACGAAGATGTGTTGGACACACCGTGGAAGGCACCTACGCGTGTCCTTACGATTTCTTCTCCGTAGATCGAATTGGTCAAAAAAAAAATTCCTGTACCTTTCCCAACTGCAGAATAAAGAAGGTGTACAGTGAAGTTATCTTTTGTTCCGCCTTTTCGCAAAAGAAGACTTTTTTTCTTTTTCGCTTTGGGTGTATCGTGCTGTGGGATTTCAGCATAAAGGAGAAAGAGGTAATGTTGTGGCAGTGGTGCATGGGCTAGCTGCAGAGGGGGGAAAAAACGCAAATGCACAAAAAAAATCGAACAAAAAAAAAGAAGAAAAAAAGAAATAATGTGCAATTATTAAAATGACAAAATGGGTAGGATGCCCGTCCTTGAATAACACGCGTCTGTTGGGTGGTATGTTTTTTCACAACACATATTCGTCTCAAGGGGATATTGCTCACCCATTTTTCTACCTTCCCCCGTTCAGATCCTATTTATCAACCTGAAGGACTACCTAAGTGAAGCGTACACAGAAAACGACAACGAGCTGGACAGCATGTTCTACATCATGAACAAAGCAGATGATTCGAACGACAACCAAAGTGCCAAAAACGTAGAAAGATGTTCCTTCAAAATAAAGAATGATATTATATATATTTACACGAACGATATATTTGAGAAGTTAAGTTATTCGTATGCCTTCTCACAGGTTAAAGTTGCGTGCCTTCAGGGTGTTGCGCCTACGGAAGTTTGCTTTCATGGCGCGCACACAGTTCTAGGGTTGTAGAGCTTCGCAACCATTGGCTTCAACCCCTGTCCTAATGGCGTGCCGCGTACCGCTAACTTCCCCCCCCCCCCCTTGCAGAGTGTAAAACTGTCCTACTTCGAAAAGGTGGTAGATGATACCATCGATAAGACAAAGAGCATCCCAGGTAATTGCCAGTTGGGAAGGAAAAATGCCAACGCGGTGTATATGTCCCACCGCTTGTCACATCATATTCGTGGGTCCCTCCAAAAGGATACATACATGTGTGCTCACCTTTCCATGTGAATAATGCACACAACGCCGCAAATTTTTTTTCCATCTGGGAACTTTTTATAGAATGCCTGGCGAGGACCGGAAAAATTCAACTAAAGAAGAATGATATAAGCAAGAAAATTGGAGAACTGTTTGTTAACAGATTTTATATTAATATGAACACAGATATGTTGGACACCCCAGGTAAGGACCGTGTCTGCGCATGGCGTGCACCCACAGGGACAGGGGCTGCACAGACAAGCGAAAACCCCCCTCAAAAAAAAGCAAGTTGGACAGATCATTTGAACGAACCAAGTGATGCCCAACAAATGTTTATCTACATGCACACGTTTTTTTTTGCTGCTTGAGAAATACCCATAAATCGAAATAAACACAATGCGCACTTTTTTTTTTTTTTTTTTTTTATGCCCTCCTTAAGAAATATTTTGGGACCACGACGACTTTAGCGAAACGTACGAGCACTTTAGAAAATATCTGGATATCTCCAAAAGGGTTGAAATTTTGAATCATAGGTAATGGGGTCTTTTTTCCCAATTGGAAAATCGACGTGGCACTGTAGAGGGAACACCCAACCCGTGTCGATGACCACATGGTGTGTAGTCCTCACGTCATAACAAAATTTCACACTTTCATTCCTTCATACACATTCCTCTCCGCAGATTAGACATAATTAAAGATCTGTACGATATGCTGCAAAACGAGTTAACCATTCAGGTTGGGACTTAAAAAAAACAAACATGCGCGGATACATGATCGTTTTTGTGCGTGTTTATGTCTATGGCTACTTTGCCCCACCATCATCATCATCTGCCTTCCCCTTTCCTCATTCCCTCCAGCATGGTTACAAACTCGAGTGGATTGTGATATATCTTATATGCATAGAGGTCATCATAGACATTGTCTGGACAATCATAATCAAGGGTGTTTTCAAGTGGGGCTAATTTGGTCGTTGCCCTTGTGCGCACTAATAATTTTTTCCCCCCCCCGTTTTTGCCTCTCTTTACGTAACAATTACATTACCATCATAGACCATTTCCCTCCAAAAAAATAAAACGCTTTGTTTCATACCCCATTTGTGTTTGTTTGAACTGTGCAACGTGTCCAATTTTTATAAAATTGCTCATTTCACCATTTTTAACATGCTTAATGTGAAAATTTTAAAAACGTCTACTTTTAAAAAAAACGGCTAAAACAAATGAAAAGTCCGGGAATAAACAAAAAAAAAAAAAAAAAAAAAAAAAAAAAAAAAAAAAGCTAGCTGGCTAGCTAATTGGTCCAAGTTCATATGAAATGCACATGAGAAATGTTGAAGTGCAATTATGAGATAAGAGAAAGAAAAAGGGGCGACACACGCTAATGGGAATGATTAAACATGCCAATCATAGGGGCGCAAGACACGAGTTACAAAGTGGTGACATAAAACAATTAGCAAGCGAAACGGCAACAGGCTTTTATGTTTGCCCTTTTCCACGTAAAACAAAGGAAGGCTCTTGTGCACTCGCGTACCCGTCTACGTGGGGACGAGCACAACAATACAACAATTTAACTTAGCTGTGCCGACGCAACTTTACCCAAAGCGCTGCGCTTTCCCAACACACCAAAAAAAGAAAAAAAAAAAAAAGAGAAAAAGAAAAGGAAAAACAAAGGAACATTTATGTTTAAGCCTCCCTCCTTCCACACAGTGTACATTTAATGCCAAGTAAAAATATAATTATGTTTATGTTCCTCTGCTGTTCATTTTTTGCGTGCCCGATTTGTAATATTGTCTTTTTTCTGAATTGAAACTTTTGGCAGTGTTTTCCCTTCTTGGTGCGTTTCCCCTCTTTGGAGTAGGTTCCTTGGTCGGAGTAGGTGCTTTCTTTGGAGTAGGTTCCTTGGTCATAGTAGGCACTCTCTTTGCAGTAGGTTCCTTGGTCGGAGTAGGTGCTTTCTTCGGAGTAGGTTCCTTCTTCGGAGTGGGTTCCTTCACGCTGCTCTGGCTCTTGATTACACTTGCGCTCTTCGAAACACTCGCGCTCATCGCGCCAGTATTGCTTTTCCCTGGCGCGTTCTTCACCATGGCGCTACTATGGGCATTCGCATCATCGTCGTCGTCGTCTGAGTCTTCCTGCCCCGCCTTTTTCTCTTTGTAAACGTAGCACATGGGCACGAAGTAGTCGACTCGGGAGTTATCCACCAGCTCGGATTCCTTCAGCGTCAGGAAGTTATTCAGTGGCGCGCCCTTGTACAGCAGGACGATATTATCCACCGGGATGCTGCAACATTTGTGTGCGTGTCGTGGGGGGAACAGGATAAAATGAAGCAACGCGTGGATGCATGTGCAGACATAAACACGTAAAAATGTACGTCAAACAAATGGACATGTTGGGTGGGAGAAATGGGTCCCCGCTGCCTGCTTGGTTCTCTTTTTTTTTTTTTTTTTTCTTACGAAGAGGACTCATCGGTAAGGTTATATATTCTCTGCTTCAACACGCGCACTTCACATGTGTCGATTATTTTTATTTTAATTGTTTGTCTGAAGCAGAAGGACCAAAAGGGAATACACCGGCTAGTTCCGGACCCACAGGATTGTAATGTTCTCACATGAATGGTAATTAAATTGGCCAAATATAACTCCAGTTTTACAGTTTTTCTGTTTGATTTATTGTAAGTGGAAAGCTTCTCGTCCAATTTGCATTCTACTCTTGCAAAGTATAGTACTAAGGAGGTATTGTCATATGTGTAATTTTTTTTTGCTTTAATTTTGTTAATTATTTCACTTATTCTCATTTCATTGTTTATGTCACTTATCTGATATGTCGATGTCTCCTTGTTAACATAATCGTTCACCGTTAGGAGGATGTCGTTTTCACCTACTGTTACGTACATTTTGTCTCGTGGGGGGGGTGGGTTGAATAGAACTTGCTGATGATCAGTCAAGTGGTGGAGGGGCGACGGAAAAATATGGGCACGTCAAAAGGGGCGTGTCAAAATTGGGCTCTTGATGGACTCCTTCACGCGTGTGTAAGGAGGGGTGCTCTACATATTTGGAGACGTACACGTGGGTAGCGAAGTGGGACAGGAATGAATGCGGGGCAGACAAGTGGACACACAGGCGCTAAACAGATAGATGAACAAACGCACATATGAACACACGAACCACACGCATATAACAGACAGGCAGAACAAACGGGACTACTCCTGTATATGAGCAGTTTATCACAGCAGGAGGGCTTTCGTTGTGGATGTGACTTCCTGGCGCCTCATCCCAACGAATTGTGTGCGGCTTCAGAATTGGCCAGCGCAAAGGAAGACCTCACGTAATGCAACAGAATCCTGTTTTTGTTGACGCACACGCCGCAGCCTATACAGGTATGTGCACATGCATTAAATGGAGTAGACTTCGGCACACATTCGTGCAGAAATATCCACTCGCGCACATGGACGGACAACCGGCAGGGGGGGGAAAAAATACTTAAATTATTAACTGTTTCACGACATTAAGAAAATTTTCATTGGATGTGTTCCCTCTTTCATTCGTTTAGGTTAGCATCATCGCGTTTCAACTGATAGTGAACGCACAGTTAGGGGGGGGTGCAGCGCTGCACATGCAGAAATAATACACCTACCCAATGGAACACTGCAATTGCAAATGGCGCCAATTTGACAACTTCAACGAATGAACGAGCGTACTAATTCGCGTAGGCAAAGTGCGGATGCGCCAGGAGAAAACACGAAACGTATATTTCCAACTGGAGGTCTTTTTTTTTTTTTTTTTTTTTTTTTTTTTTTTTTTTAAATGCTGTAAAAAGGAATGAAACAATTTGGTTTTATTTCTCGTTGTTAATATTTTGCCACAGGCGTAAAAAAATTGTTAGCAAAATGGCTACACGTTTTTTTTTTTTTTTTTTTTTTTTGGCAAAACTTTACGTGCCAAAATGGTGTATTAAAATGGCCACTCTATGCGCGGGTATAAATTGTGCTTTTACATTTGGGGTAACAATAAGTTTCGATTTATTTTTTTTTTTTTTTTCTCATTTGATGTGATTACTTCTCGTTTGGCCATCCGCAAAAGGAACAGTGCGCATGATGGGAATAAAATAACTGTATGCGCAGGTACGCACACTGTCGTATGGTACGAGCGAAATGGGCTATGCAGGAGGAAAAATAAAGCGCCGTAATGGAAGCGCTACGAATGCACATGTGGTGGCGCCCTTATGCTGCGTCCATCTGTATACCGCGAAAGGGGCAGAACGAAGCGAACGTGGGGGCAACAGTGTAAAGACGAAATACGCGCACCCATATTGGAGGCATCACGTACGTTATACTATGCACACACAACTCGACTGGGTGATTTTCCTTCCGCGCGGTTGTTTTACACTGAAATGAACACTTGAGAGGAAGAACAAAATTTATATGAGATGCGCTTGTTCCGCGGGATGCCCGTGTGCGCACCCCCGTTGGGCAAGTCGGCCCTTCCTCCTATCTGCGCCCATGTGTGTATATCTTGTTGAGGCGTTTTGAGAAGCGCATAGCCGTCGCGCGTGAGCGAAGGCCCACGATGGGTGAACAAAAGGTCACCTAAGGAAGCGGCAACGCATGCGGCAGAAAACATCGCCGCGTAGGCTGCTAAACAGAAGAAGCGCTATTTAGAATTATTTGCCAGGTCGTGATTCAATCATGCCGCTCTGGCTGCCAGTACGCTCCGTGACGAAAGCGAGCACTTGTTGCGTCTGCCGCCCCACCCATGCCAAATGGCAAATGACAAATGATACATTCTACCTTGGGTGCCACTCACGCCGAACAACTCCGCCACGCGGAACAGTTGACGGCATGATACGTGGGGCACTCCCTAAAGTTGAACGCTACGCACTATTCCCTTTGGTCTGCTGGTGCAGCTCGATACATTGTTACTAAGCGAAGACAATGTTGTTGTCGCCAGGGGCGCACGTTCGCAAACTCTGCGTGGATGCAAAAAACAAAACAAAACACACACACACATATACATATATGCCTACACACACATGTGTACGCTCCCTTCACTGTGCCGGGCGTCAGTAGCCATGCCTTTGGAGGGAACTGCCGTAGTAAGCCAGCGCCTGCCTGACAGACGCCACGCTGTAATCAAAAAACTCATAAACCTCCGCGTTAGACAAAACCCAAGGCTGAATCCCGTCCTTGTTAAAAGGGTGAATAATATTATACAAAAAAAAAAGGGAACTAAAATAGTCCTTTAAAAAATGCACGAAATTTTCTTGTTGTATAGACTTTCCATTCTGATAGCATGTAAGCGTATAAGAAACATAATCACTCAGGCCTATTCGTAAGGACAGAACTACGTCCACTTGGGGGTCGTTAAAAGAAGCTTCGAAAATGTCCTTGCATATGGGTTGAACATACAGAGGGATGCTCTTCCCTATTAACTTCTTTATGCTGTCTATTGATTGCTGGTCCTTCACAAGAGAGTTTTTAAGAAACTCATTCAAAAGTGCAAGTGTGCTTTTTGAATCTCCTTCAGGTTCCTTTTCGCTTCCAGGCAAATCAGCCCTGTCCACCTTTTCCATGGTACAATTAATATTTGCAAATTCTGTTCTCATTTTCTGTGTCGGAATGTTTGCCCAAAAGTTGCTTTCGCTTGTACCCACTGGACTGTATAACACCCCCAACTGTGTAACAAAACAAGTGATACGTTTTATAATTTGCGTCACGGTCCACTCCACCTTCCTGCATAAGGAACGCAGGACTCGTTTTAACTTGGTCACACTTATGTGTTTCACTTCGGTGAAGAGAAGAAACACAATGTAGCATACCCTCTGGAATGTTTTCCCCTTTTTTTCGAATAACATTTTTTTGTCAAAGTCGATAATTTTCTTTATTAAGCCTTCCATACTTTTATTGCACACGGGTTTGCGCAGTGCATCCGTTACTACCTCCCCTTCTGAGGTGATGTTGCTCCCTTCCGCTGCCTCGATGAGCTTGTTGTGTGCGTTCGATTTGTTCACGAACCTCAGGTAGAGCGTGCGGGACGTTTGCGAGGGGCCGCGCTTCGCAACGGTGACTTGGTTAGCGCCGTTGAGCGCGTCAGCCATGTCATTGCCCATATCGGCAACAGCGCGCACCCCCCCTGGGGAGGCACTCATGCAGAACCCCCCACTGTGAAATGCACGAGCCAAGTCATTGAAAAAGACAGTGTCCAAAAGGCACTCAGACACGTAGATACTCACATATGCCACTTTGTGTTCATACAGGTACACAGCAATGTTTACGAGATAGGGCGCTAGTTTGTTCTCCCCCCTCAGTATAATAACATCGCTCGTTTTTAAAACAATATATACATGCTTTGGCGTTTTGATATTTCCGTCTTTTGGATCGGATGGGGTCCATCTTCGTCGCTTACACAGGTTGGCAAATCTTTGGAGAATGTCTTCACCGGTGCAGTGCTTCTTCAGATCGGACCATGTGCATAAGGTGAGTATTCTGTTGATCGTGTTGCTCATAAGTGTTTTAACTCGGGACAGCTGCCAGTTTTGCGGTCGACACTTTTGCAGCTCCGTCCTTACCCTTTTGACCAGGCAGTACAATGACAACAGCGCTGATATAAGCAAGTACGTTAACACGAGGACAAGGTACCCAGCTGCGTTCTTCCCATTTTGTTTTCCATGTGCGTTTTTAATCATGTTTTGGGGCGACCACGCATGGTTTGCCCGTTCACTCGTTCGTGTAGATTGGCTTGTTTTGCGGCTCTCGCGTTATTTTGTTTTTCCTCTTATTTTTGCAGCTTGCTTGCGGTGGGCTCGATTAGACTTCCCTTTCTCACTCGAGATCGTTTTCGCGCCTGATCTGCCCCCCGGACCATTTTGCGAAGCTGTCCGAAAGCAAGTGTGCAACGCGTGGTGTGACTTCGCGTAGGCGACGAGGGGCTAACACTTCCATTGACACACCCGTGGTCCTGTGCACCTAACCCCTTGTCACGTGATCAAGTAGGCACCACCTCCCGACGGACGTCTCACCCTTTACGTGCCTCTCTCTATCTCTCTATAAGAGTAATGCGAAAATGCTTCAAACCAATATACATAAAAGCATCGATTATTTTGACACAGGTGTTCTCACGTGGGACACTGCTGCTAGTGTGCAGTGCCACCACTTATTAGCGACCGAACAAGATGCTAGAACCGACTGTGCTTGTACTTCCCGCACACACACACTTTGGCAAGAACAAAAAAATAAACAATCGGGAGAAAAATGGATTGTCCCTCTTTTTGCCAAAACTGTTTAACCCGTTTGTAATTCCAATGCGGAAAATTTAACTTTTTTTTTTTTTTTTGTTTCCTGCATATATCTTTTTAAAAACAAAAAAGTTCCCTTGTGTGTTTACCGTTTTGTGAGATGAACAGGGGGTGATAGAAATAGGGACAAACAAAAAAAAAAAAAAAACTTATATATACACACAATTATACATCATTTTTGCAGCGATTTCTTTGTTCGGCTGCACTGTTCACTTTTCCTTTTTTTTTTTTTTTTAGCATGTGCGTCGTTTGTTTGACATGAATTGGATTATTTCGACTGGGCTTCCTCCCCTGCTCCGTATGGACGGGGCACAGCGCGGGCAGGCTACATAATACCCCCTCTTCAGAACTTCACCCCATCACATGTCGAGTCCTTTTGTTTTCCTTGCTTGCTCGCAGTGGAAATGTCCAGGTATCCAGGAAGGCGCAGCTCAAAAAAAAAGGGCTCGCACATTGACTCGGAATTGTTCGAATGTCCCCTCTCCCAAGCAGTGCTTCTTGCCCCCCGTTTGCCTACTCCCCTGCGAAACTTGGACAGTGTCGCTCGGGGAGTAGTACCCCTTCCGGACCCGGCACACATCAACTTCCCCCTGCATGGAGAGTTGACAACACTTGCCCTCCGTCCTCGTATCCAACCTCTTTGTATGCGTCCACCATTTCGGAAATAATCGCCCTGTCGTACTTTTTCATTTTTATAAAGTTGCCTAAACATTTATCAGCTTGGTCCTGTAGATTGGGGTGCGTCAGGATAGGTAAGGATAAATTGTCTCTGCTTGCATTTTTTTTTTTTTTTTTTTTTTTTTTTTTCCCCATTTGGCTGTTTTGTTCATACAAAAATTGGGAATTTTCTGACTTTTTTGTTTGTTTTTTTTTTTTCCAACTTCCCCCCATCTATTTGGTACAACAGAGGAAAAAGCACACGACTGTGTGGCTCTGCCAATTAGAGGCATACGTGATCACATAACGATGCACACATACCCGCATGCCTAGGTGTACAAATGCCATGCATAGATAAGCCCACAATTTATGGTTGAAGAGGTTCATTTCGTTGGACTTGTATAAGAGCCTGTACGCCTGCAAATATTTTCTTCTTTTTAAGTAGTAACAAGCCAAGTACAGATACGAATAGCTCGTTTTACAAACTTGTTGTGAATTCTTAATCTCAGTTTTACTGTCATCAAATTGGCCCAGCGAAAGGTAAATTTTACTCAACTGCAGGTGCATCTTTACGCGGATATTGCTCAATTTACACAGGGGCAAATATCGCTTCAGTAGGCTCACACACTTGGGGTAGTCGCCAAGCTTATATGAGCTTTGCGCATAAATGTACAGGACGTCCAGGTTACGCAGGTGCTCGCTCGTCTCGTCTATCAGTTCCATGCATTTGGCGAATTCTGAGGGTGAGAAAGAATGTGCAGATTCGTGTTGCAGATGAGGGCGATGGCAAGAAGTAACCCCGTGTGCGACACACGGATGCCTCTCTTCGCGAAGCGCTCCTTTGGAACCCACCTCCCACTGCAAAGAACGCGCGGATGATGAGCTGTTTATACAGAGGAGTGTCCAAGGATGACTGCGTTAGAAACTTGTGCCGATTCTCGTGAATAAACATTACGACATTTAGTACATTCAATTTTGTGCAGTGAATCAGAAACAATAACATGAACATGTCCTTTGCTGGGATGTGCTTGTACAAGTTCGTCTCTGGACAATTCACCATGGTTTCATGTCCCCCTAGGGTTGGTTGTTCCTCCTTTAGACTACTCCTTCTCCCTTTCCTTTTTGCACCTTCCTGGTGCGTTTTCTGTTCTGGCTCCTCCTTGTCTGTGTTAGGTTGGTCATTCAAGTCATTTGCGTTATCTTCCGGGCTTCCTTGGAGTTCGTCTTCTCCTCCTTTCGTACTTTTTTTGTTTTTTTTTTTTTTCTTATGTTGATCTTGGTCTCGTCCCGCCTCATCATTCGCATCATCTGAGATACCCTCGACATTGTCGACACTGCCGCTATTGCCGGGGGCTCCCGTCTTATCTCTCTTGTCACTCTCTTGGCATTTTACCTTTTGCGCGCTGGGGTCGTTTTCCCCCGTATAACCCCCCAACGCAGACGCACTCCTCTCAACCTGCAGCCGCAGCTCATTTTCGTTGGCGCTCATCAGGATGCTCATGTTAATGTAGTAGTGCACGTAGTTCCGTTGGAAGAAGAAGCACAAGGCTTTTATGTACACGCAAATTTCCACAGTTATGTCTACGTGGGTTTGGCTAAATGAGCTGTACAGGTGCAACATTTTCATGTCCATTGGGGGTTCTTCCTCTGGTGGTTCCCCAGGGGGGGAGGCAGCAGGAGCAGACAGCGCAGCAGTAGAGAAAGCAGCAGGTGGTCCTCCGTTTGTTCTCCCTTGGTATTTTTTCCTCTTCAGGACTTCTATCAAATAACTAACTAACTTCTCGGCCTCGGTATACTTGTGTGCGTTTAGGTACACCAGGGCTAAGGTGAAAATGCTTTCAGTGTTTTCCTGCACAGGGGGGAACAAGTGGCAGGTTTTCGTGGGGTGTGTGCGCGGGGCAACGTCTCCCCAGAATGGGTTACACCCCCAGTTGTGAATGCACCAACCCAATTGTGCATGGCACGATTTGGAGAGTAAATGTCTCTGTGCTCCCCTTTTTTTGTTCTTACAAAATTGGTGAATTCCACGTAGGCTGAGAGGCACGAAATGCATGCGTCTGCATTTTCTCCATTCAGGTACTTGTCGTATGAGTTGAAATTGTTGTGGCACTCGAAGTTTTCGTAGACCTCATCCTTTGGGACATCGACCCCGTTGTCCTCCTGCTCCCCTGAAAGGTTGTCCTTTGCCCCTTCTCTCCTGTCCATGCAGTACTGCTCGTAGCACACACGCTGTTGTTTCTTGTGGGCTTGGCCACCAGGGTGGCTAATTATTATGAGCAAGGTTTTGGCATATGTGTACAGGACATCAACAAATATTTTTTTAATTTCTTCATTTTGTGGTAAGTTTATAATGGATATTATATTTTCCTGCTCAGCGTCTTCTACAAATGTTCCATCCACAGGTGGTACCTCGGCCGTTCCATTTTCTCCCCTTCCGTTTAGCATCACTTCACCAAAGTGGTCCATATAATGGAACAAATACGAATTTGCGTTTTTTTCCTGCATGGCGCGTATCACCCATGTTAACATGTCTTCCTGATTTTTTTTATTTTTATTTTTTTTTTTTTCGTACATATAATTTTCTCTGTGTGGATCATCGTTCTCCTCGTCATATTCGGAATAGTGTAACAGCATATTAATCACATGATTACAATCTTGTGTTTGCAACTCAGACAAGTGTTTCTCCTTGGTACTGTCTCCGCAAAGAGTTATTTTCTTAAAGATAAAAACCAACAAAGCTTCACAGAAATAAACAGTCTTTCTATGCTTCAATAAAAATTCGCTTTCCTGTACCACATGTAATAGGTAATTATGTACATTTGTGATGTTGTTGTTTGTTTTTATTTCGTGTAGTGTATTTATGTTCAGGTGGTTTTCCTTCTCGAAGTAGCCGTTGATGATCACGTTGGAGGATTCTTGCACGAGGTTGAAGAGATGCGCCAGGATGCAGTTTTCGTTTTCCTCTGATATGGCTTTTTTTTCGCAGAGCGATTTTTCCATCATGTTTGTTTCGTCGGTTGGCTTTGTCTGTTGCTTCTTTTCTTGACCGTCCTCCTCTTCACACGTCACGTCATCATGGAGGTTAAAATTTTTATACACCTTCTTCTGCACAATTTCGTACGCCAGTTTGATCTGAGGGATGGAGAGGTACGTTGGTTTGAGATTTATGCTCACCAGATGGGTGGCATCTTCGCCGCAAACGGGCACATGGGCAAGTACACCAGTAGAGACGTAAAATGTAAACACCTCGACAGGCAGACAAAGACGTGGCTCCCGTGATGACTTACCATGACGTCCCTGATGTTGTTGTACAGGTTGAGGTACGTTGGCGTCTCCTTCAAGCTGTCCAGGAAGGACACGTACTCCTTAGACTTTCTGTAAATCTTTATTTGATCTTCCTCTTTCAGCTTGTCGATTTCGAGGTTGACGTACTGGATGCCCTCCAGGATGGACCTGGTGTGGCGACGCGATGTTACGCAGCGGTGTTATGCGGTAGTGTTTGCAGCAGCGTCCTTAGGATTTGCGGCAGGATCTCTTACCACCGCTACCCAACATCTAACACGCCCTACCTGTTAAACACATTCTCGACACTGTCGCTGTCCTTCTTATCGCTCGTTACGGTACCTCCCTTCAAGTTAAACATCCGCAGGGGGAATTCCACTTTTTCTCTCTTGAAAAAGGCTGCAGGAAGGGTTGTTACATTTTTGCCATGGTTTCGTAAATGTACAGGGGGATGATCTGTGGTTTAAGGTCCGAGGTAGCTGCAGACCACATTGACACCGTGTAGACACGCCGATCCACGCTGTGGCATTTTTGCCCTTTCCCAGCTGTTCTCTCCTTACGCTTGTAAAACTGAATGGTCAGTAGGACGTAAGCCCCTCCGTAGACGAACGACTCTTCGTTGGCCTCATTTTGCTGGCCACTTTTCGCTTCTCCCTTTGGTGAATTCATGGAGTGCAGTTGGTACTTGGCGTTGATAACTACGGATAGAGGTGTTGAAAATGGAGGCGATCAAGATGGAGGGCAACATGCAGTTCAGCTGCACTTATTTTGGGAGGTGCAAAACAAATGCCTATGTGTGCAGACAGCCCCTTTTTTTCTCCACCTGTGTTTTGTATCACATCCGAAATGTTGACTTCGAATCTTCCGCATAGAGCGTCCATCACGCTGGGGGTGGCGTTTTCTGAAGGAAAGACGTACGGAACGCGGCATGCAGTGAAATATATCAGCATGCTTTCTCACTCCGCGTAGATAAAAAATATGCACAGACAGGGACAACATGGTCAATCCATTAGCGATTCTTCATTTTGTCCATCCTCCGTTGCTACCCCTTTGCTTCTTCCCCTCGTTGATGCAGAGCACATATGCATTCACGTTAAACGATTCGTAAAACAGAAAGTTGTAAATATATTCAATTTCCTACGCATGCGGGAAAAAATAAAATAATGTCCTTGTTGTAACTGCGCTTGAGCCATTCGGTCCAGCGTACGACGCATTGTCGTGCCTTCCCGGACTGTTCGTTCCAGACTAATCGATTACGCTACCTGTATATTTCTGTACTTGTACAGGTCGTTTGTTTTCCACACAATTTTGTATTTGTCTTGCTCATCTGGACGGGGAGGAAAAGTATCGGTGGGAATTTTCGCGGAATGATTCAAAGTTGGATCCCTCAATGGGACACCTGGGAGGAGGAGCCATCCCCCATTTAACCTTCTACGAGAGCCCCATCGTTCAGGGAACAGTCCAAAAACTTCAACTAAGATGGGAATAAAAGGAAAGAAAAATGAGAAAAACGAACATAAATGAAGAAGGTGAGACATGTACAAATGAATGCTCTCACCGCTCCTGCACCTCTTTCCCTGTCTACACTAGTTCACTTCCTTTGTGCTTACTTGAAATGTGTGCGAATTCTTCTTTGCCATTTTGTGATCGATCGCTTTGGGGATGTTGTACACCCCATCAACCTTGTAACACCGCGAAGGGGGGAAAAAAAAAAAATTACACACACACATCATCATGCTCCTTTTTTTTGCACACATGAACACTGGGATGGTTTACAAGTAGACGAGAAGGGCTGAACCATCTCGCAGTAGTGATTCTCCAAGTTAACCTTCACGTTCATTATGTTGTACGAGGACCTGCCGCAGTAGTAGCCCACCAGGGAATTTATATTCAGCGTGATGTGAAAACCTTCCAGGGAAAAATGGGAAAAAAAAAAAATTTCGATAAAAATTCCAAAAAATATATGAACGGTTCAGGCAAATGTAGACCAAATATGGGTGAACAATTTGGTGAGTTAGACACAACGCCCAATGGGTGCGGGGAAGACGCACACACATCGTTCCAAACGCACTTATGTCAATATCCTCTTGGAGAGTGTAGTCCGATTGTTTCTCGTCTTTTCGTGAGTTACTTTTTGTTTTTTCCTTTTTCTTTTTTTTCTTTTCATCGTTGTCTGCAATTTTTTTTTTTTTTTTTTTGTCGTTCTTATCACCGTTTTCGCCAGGACCCCCCGGCTCACCCGTTTGATCTGTTTCATTCTGATTTGCGGGGTCTTCCGTCCCTCGCTCTCCGCACTTGTACGACACGACGATTTTTCTCGTGATGATTAACTGGTCGTGCAGAAAGGGAAAGGCCTTGATGCGGTCCGACCCGACGAGCACAAAGCTGTTACTGGGGCCATCGTCACTGTCGTTATTGTCGCCGTTGTTTCGGCTTTTGTTATCATCACCCTTGTCGTCACCGCTACCACTATCTTTCTTGTCCTTCGGCTCCCCTTCAGAGTTATTACTTCTTGCGAGAACGTCCACCTTTACACAACTTTGGATGATGTCGTTGATGGCCGTTTCTGCAAAACGTAAGTTAGTGCGCGCAACGAGTGGAGAAGACAGAAAGGTGCAAAGGATACAGAGTTGCTAATTTGTTTAGTATAGTGGGGAAAGGAGTCCACATAGTGGTTCTGCACCCCCCGCACCGCTCGGACCTTCGCATATCTCGATGTTGTTGCTGCGGAAGTTAATCTGGCGATAATTATTCTTTCCAATGAGGTTGGACTCGTAGCAGTTTCCATAGAAATCTTACAAGAGGGAAAATGTGGGAGCGGGGAAAAAAAAAAAAAAAATGTGTATAAAAAATTGGAGAGCATACACAAGGAATACGCGTATGTGTATGTGGCATATTTAAGCGTCTATTATTTTGTTGTTGTCGTTATCTTCTTCAATTTTTTTTTTTTT